TGCACCAAGTATTTTCAAAACTACATTAAGAAAATGGCTTCTTGTCCTTTAAGAATATGTCTACACAAGACATTAGACTTATTTACCTGATAAGCCAGCTTTCTGACAGCCTCTTTTACATCCTTGGTTCGACCTACAATTTTTGGCAAAGTCTTTGCTGATGGTGCAATACATGATAACACTGCTCGCCTAACTTCTGGATTTGAATCATTTTCAATCAAAGCAGCATATGCTAAAAATAAAACAATACAGTTTAGTACTAAAGAAATTATTTATTTAGCTATAGTCATAAAATAGCTCACATTTTGAAATTTTAAAATCTGTTTAAAATGATAAACACATAATTTTTTAGTCTTACACATTTAATTTTAGCTGAAGATTTTTTTCCACCAACTTCCCTTCTAAGGACAGAATGAAAAAGTAGTCAATGGACTGGGCCTGAAACATAAAACTGAAAACAAACAGCCCTAAAAGTCACGGAAAATCCATGGTTAAGACTGTTACCTTCACTATTCCTCAATATTTAGGAGAAAGTTTAATACAGCAGGCAGTTAAGGGCCCATTATTTTGATTTTTTAATGAGTCCTAGAAAGAAAAAACTTCGTTTTTACTCATTGAAACAAAACTCTTTACTTGTATTTATTCATCTGTACTTCTCACATCTTCCCCAGCTTTATTATCCAGAACATGTTGACTATCAAATATTTGTGTTTTACACAATATAATGCATATGACTTAACACGAAAAAACATCAACTACTACAAGTTATCAAAAGTGATTATAAAACTGGTAATGACAGCCCAATACAGTGGCAAGCGCCCACAGTCACAGCTACTCAGGAGGCTGAGGCACAAGGATCACTTAAGTCCGGGAGTTCAAGGCCAGGCAACATAGCAAGACCTTGTCTCTTAAAAAACAAACTGGTAACAAAGACGAAGGGAACAATGAAATAGAAGAGTGCTCAAACTATACCTAGGCATATATGGAAAAGTGAAATATGACTATTTGTATGACCCCAGAGGTACAGAAAGATTTCTTAAGAGATAAAAAGTATAAATCATAATGCCAGAGATTTATGTTTGAGATTAGAATTTCTGTTCAACATAAGAGAATGAACCAATGAGCCACCTAAAGTAGGAAGAGATCTATAATTGATATAACCCAAGGATTTCTTTTCAGAATGTATAAAGAACACGAATAATTAATTAAAAAATCAATTTTTAATTTAAAAAAAATCCAATAGAAAAATGGGCAAAATACATTGTAAACCATTAGGTAGGGATGAGGTAACCTTTCCCTCATTAACATAGTAAAACTTACACCCCCTAGCACCATGACAGTTCCAGAGCCAGTCATACAAGGACAGAAAATGGGAGGGTACATGATTCTGGGAATCTACCCACTTCCCCAAAAATACATGAATATTTCACCCCCAGCTTAACATATTATTAGGGATTACCAAAAAGGACAGACCCTAACACTTGGATGATGCTGTTCCTTATTGGAGCAGTCCCCACTCTCTACTGAACTTGAGAGTGTACTATAGTTTCTAAACTCTGTCTTTAAACTCAGGGTCATCTCCACTCACGGGGACAGATCTGTTCCTCTCTTTGGGGACTTACTTCGCTTTGCAATAAAAATACTTGTGTGGAAGTGCTTCGTGTCTGTCAGTACTCAGTCCCACCAGCCCTGCTTGTGATTCTACCAAGCAAGGAACCAAAGAACCAGGACAACTCTCCCTAATCATATCTGACATAACATATATAATATAATTAACAAGCAAAGTATATAGAAATATAATTAGCTGCTAAATATGTGAAAAGATATGTAACAATGACATATACCATATATACCAACAGCTTTTAAAAATCTGATAACACTAAACACTAGAGAGGATAAGGAACAATGAAACTTTTATGTCATTGTTATTGAGAATATTAACTGATACATCGTTTTGTGGCAAACTTGCACTTTATCTAATAAAGCGGAACCTGCACACTGTATATCCCAACAAATCCACCCCTAGAAAAATTCTTTAACCTTCTTAGACTAGAAGCCATGTCTAAAAAAGTTCGTAACAACACTGTTTTTATGAACAAATGAATTGGAAACAACTACAGGGTCCACTGACATTATAAATAATAAACTGTTATATTCATATAACTGAATGCTGTAACACAGTTAAAAAAAATAAATGTATCAACATGGGTTTATGTTAGAATAGAAATAATTTTGAGAGGAAAAAAATCACAGAAAAATAAAGTGCGAGTCACAATAGGCAAAATTTAACATTAAGATGAATATGTGATTAAGTAAATATTAACACATGATTTAATTAAAATCCTTAAAAAAATTTTTTTAGAAGAATAATTAACCCAAAATTCGGATAATAGCTACCTCTGAGGGAAAGGATGCAACTAGGGTGGGATGCAATCAGGTTTCAAAGGTACTGGTATTTTATTTTTTAAGTTGGGTGGTTGGGCAGTTGCTACTTGGTTTTTATTTTTATTTGAATCATATATTCATTACTTATACGCTTCCATGTTCATTATAAAAATTCAACTACTGAGAATTTAACAAAATCAACAAAACTGAAAAAAGATTTAGGAAACTACACATACCATCGACCACTGGGCATTCATCATCCTTGGGATCCTGAAGTCGTGAAAGTGCCAGAACTGCCTGTATTCTCACATTTGAAATCTTATCTTTCAATCTAATAAGCATGGCTTCATTAATTTTATCAAACACATCATCATCAATCTGGGCATTTTCTGGCATACTTCCCAAAAGCTTGTTTATGAGCTGACACACTCTAAATCTCACTGCATGGCTGTTTGCTTCATGAGACTAAAACAGACACAAATGAAAATTCATTGCCAGTTACATACCATTCCTTAATAGTTTTAATAGCAAATACTATTTTCACTCTGTATGTTCAGAACTCAAGAAGTTAGAACAGTAATTTATTACCTGAAGAGATACTGTAATGCTACCTTGGTCCATATGTATACTAAATATGTAATTTATACAGTCTCAAAATAAACAGTCTGAAAGAAGTATTTGCTAAGTTACAAAAGTATATTCCTCTTTGCAGGAACTTCTAAAATAAAGAACTCATTTAAAACAAACACGAGAACTGGTTTAAAGAGGTCATTAGAAATTTAATGCTAGAGTTATGAGACAGAGTCATTCACAGACATTTTCTCAAACACCAGATAATCTCATTGTCTAAAACATATAAACTCCCATAGCCCTTTTAATACTACAAAATTTTCTACAATACTTCCCCAAAGTGCTAGTTTTCATAGTACCTTTAAGAGAAAAGCAAACAAGTAATTTAAAATGCCACCATCTTCCTCTTCCTCATCATTTTCCATATCTGATTGGTGAAATGAAGTAACAAACTTGGCTGCAAATTCTACTACTCTCTCCACAGCTGGTTCACGTTTATAGACCAACATAGCATATTTAAGATAGTGAACGAACTCCTCATGAAAACCTGTTTTATCGTCCATCTGAAAGACAAAAGAAACCATTCATAAACTGCACTGATAAAAATCCTTTATTCCCAACATTACCCTAAAACTGCTGAAAGCACTACCCATAACTCAAATTAAAAGCTTTATTTAGTAAACTCTCAATTAACCAAGCCAGCAAAAGGGAAATGCATTTGCATGAACTTCTCTCCAGGCTACAATGTGCACACGACCTTGAATTTTGACAATGAAAAGATTCCTTTGATTTTTTTTTTCCCAATACCCTTGGATTCTCAATATGCCTTTAGTACCAGTTTTGTAAAAATATGCTTCTTCATGAACAACTCAAAATCAACACTGGCTTTTATATTTATATTTATGCCTTCCTATCACACAGCAATTTCTTCTGGATATAACGTTCCCATCCTGTCTCACATCCTCAAAGCCCTGTTACTTGTACTTACAATTTTTCTTGAACCTCAAGATAATTAATGTCCCCCAAATTCATTGTCCTATTCTTCCCACTGCTCCACTCACAAAGGAATAAACAGTAGTTACATCAATAGAAAGGGCCAGGTCCTAATGATTAATTTGGTATCTGGTGATTGGATCAATTTAACCGGGGGACTAGGTTAGAGTAATTGGACCGTTTACTGTGAGTGGAGACCGAGGGGCAACAACCATTGAAGCCCCGCGTCTAGGATCCAACAATCTACGGCGCAGTATTTGGTGCCTGGTCGCCTGGGTGCTTGTCAACGTTTCCCTCTCAATTCACAGTCAGACTAAGGATTAACGGTCCGCGCCGCCCCGCCCCGGAGGCTGGCGGTATCAGGGTAGAAAAGCAAAGACCGGACCCGTGGGGACGGCGCCCAGGCTTCGGGGTCTTGACCGGGCCCAAGCGACCTGGGGCAAATCGCCAGATCTCTCCGAACCTCAGGTCTCTCTGAAGTGGGTCGCGAAAGTAAACTACGTTTAAGTCCGGTGCGCGAATCCGAAGGCCACAGGGAGCCCCTGGGGAAGGCTGCGCCCGGGGAAGGCGAGGGGCGGCGGCCGAGGCCACGGGCGGCGGGGCCGGCCGCGCTTACCGTGCGGTAGGTGCGGCTCAGCGCCACCACCAGCTTCGCCTGGTTCTGGTGCGGCTGCTGCGCCAGCCGAAAGGCCTCCTTAATCGACAGTAGCCTCTTTTCCGCTCCCATGGCGCCAAGATTCTGCCGGGACAAGCCCTGGCCGCGCTCGGCTGCAGCTGGTACGACCACCCCAAGGCCGAGCTCCCCACCCAGCCTCCTCAGACTCCCGGGAGCCGGACTCGGGGCGCCCAGAGCGTGGTTACCGCCAGAGTATTCAAATAACCCTCGCGGGAGGAGGAACTACCGTGAGACTATCGCGAGAGCGTCGGGAGACGAGAGCGGGAAAAATGGGTCCACCCACCCTCAAACGCCATGTTCTGAGCGCATGCGCGCACAGTGTGTTTTGCTCTTTTTCCCAGTGGTAAGTGGCTTTGTAAGGGGAAGGACTGTTGGCTCGAGTGCAAGTGGTGTCGCCTGGGAAAGCGGGCGGAGGAGCTACCGTGAGACAGTCGGAACGGGGTTGGTGGCGCTAGGCCTAGTGAGTTCGTGCGGCTGGGCGTGAGTTGAGAAAGAAGAAAGGAACCTTCACGGGTGAGAACAGGAAATCGGCTAAGGGGAACAGTCTCCGCTCCGGCTGAAGGGGCGGGGGATCCCCAGAGGAGGGGTACGTTTCGGGAGACGTCCAGGAAGAAAAGATGGAGCGTTCGGGAGGGCTGGGCCCTGCGGCCAGCTTGGTACTGAGAAGGGAGACGTTGCAGAGTCGGCTGAGGAGGGCGATCCGAGGTCTAGGGGAGACGGATGCGGTCTTTTCAAGGCCTAGTTCCTGGCCTGGTGAAGGGCTGTCTGGAAGAGTGTGCAGGGAGGCAGTCTGGAACCGCTGCGAAGAGAGGCACGGTTCAATTTGGCTGCAGCTGGTTCCAGATATGCCAGCTGTCCAGACCTAGTTTACAAATGTGCATAAGGACGGTGTATTAAACAAAGCAGAACTCAGAATGGAAAAGTCTTTGGGGTAGTGATTGTGATAAAAAAGAGCAGTAACTAGGTCTTTTAACCCTTTTTTTAAAAAATAAAAATAGACCAGACAAAAATGAATACCTCTGTTGGGGCCCAGGATGTATCATCCCAAAATGTGACTGTAAAAGACCAGAATGTGCCACTCTAAAACATACTTCTGGGGCATATTTTGAGTCGAGAGACTGCAGACAGAGAAGTAGCTCTGAAAATCTGTCCTTTTGTAAAAGAAATACACATCTACAGGGAAAGTTTATTTAGTAAAGTGTCTGTATTAGGCAGAGGGCTGCTCTGAGATAACTTTTGTTACCTGAGAGACTGTCTGCATAACAAGACAACCTTTATTTATCATTTATTTTCTCCCCTCACTTTCCCACAACTGATGTGGCCACAACCCCCACCACCACCAACTCAAAGCCCCAAACCTCTAAACCCCTAACCCCTAGTCCTTCTGTAGCTGAGGATGTTATATAAGCGTCAGTCATCTGACCCGTGTGGGATTCCCCTGCATATGTAGTTAAATATGATTTTTTCCTGTTAATCTTTTTTGTCAACTTAATTTGTAGCCCAGCTAAAGAACCTAGGATGGTGGAAGGAAGCCGTTTTTCCCTCCCCTACACCTCAGTACCCCACTGCCAACTGAAGCAACAGAACATTACTAAAGCCTGTACACCTTTCTCCTTTTGAATTACCTTCCCTCAGAAGAAGTATGGATTTTCTGAATTTACTGTTAACCTTTACCATACAAATTTTTATATATTAACAACATGAATAAATCCCTGAATGAGTATATTGTACTGTTTTGCATGTTTTAATTATTAAATGAATAATTATGCATACAACTTGCTTTTTTCAATGTTATTGAGGTTCATTCATATTGATATGTTAATAATAGTAACTTGCACTTTAGTGATTGTTATCACGTGCCAGACACTCCTCTAAGCACTTTACTTCATTTAATCCTTGCAAACAACCCCTGTAAGATAACTTGGATCAACTTTTAAATTAAAACTAAGGAAACTAAGGCTCAGACAGGTTGCTGTAATATTCCATTGTATGAATATGTCATAATTTATTCATTTTCCCTTATCTCCCTAATTCCAGAAACTTTGTAGGTATTCAAATGCTAGTTAAAGTAATGAATGTGGTAGCATTTGGGTTGCTCATAATTTTGAAATTATTGAGATGTCTAAATTTCTTTCCTTTTCTTTTCTTTTTTTTTTTTTTTTTAAGAGACAGGGTCTCACTCTGTTGCCCAGGCTGGAATGCAGTGGTGTCCTCATAGCTCACTGTAACCTGGAACTCCTGGGCTCAAATGATCCTCCTGCCTCAGCCTCCCCAGTAGCTGGGACTACAGACATGTGCCACCATGCCCAACTAATTTGTGTGTGTGTGTGTGTGTGTGTGTGTGTGTGTGTGTGTGTGTAGAGATAGGGATCTCACTATATTGCCCAGGCTAGTCTCGAACTCATGGCCTCAAGTGATCTTCCCTCATGGCCTCCCAAAGTGCTAGGTGGCATGAGCCACTGTACCTGGCTGAGATGTCTAACTTCTGAAAAAACAAGGGTATTTCAGGTTAATCAGCTGCAGGAAAAATGGCCTAAGAATGCATGGAATATACTGATAAAATTTATAATTTCACTATAACCGAAATTTAGACTGCCTCAAAAGCTGTGGTAAAAGAGAAATGTAGAAAGGACATTAATTTTTTAACCATATGCAAAATATTATATTAAAATGTAATCAATGGAAATTATTGAGATACATTCTTTTTTTCTTACTACGTCTTCCAAATTGGGTATTATTTTACACTAACCACATTTCACATGTTGGGTAGGCACATGAGGATAGTGATGACAGTATCAGACAGCGTAGAACTATTCTATACTTTAAGAACCACTGCATATACCATTTGTTTTTAATGTCAAGTCGACTGGTAAACTAAGAACAAACTAATGTTAATATTTGGTGGCATTTTTCTTATTTTGTGGCCTTTAATTACTCAGCTCTTTTTGTGCTTTGGGTACTTGCTACCTTTATTGCTTTGTAAAGTTTCTAATATTTCTTTATTGTGTTTTATTTGGCTATCTCACCACCAAACAGAGACTTCATTATCATTGCCAGTTACTGAAGGATGAAGCATCTGGCCACCAGAGGTCAGCCTAACTATATTATCTTTTTTTATGATTAATGCCATATATTTTTATTCGGTATTTTTTTACTTTATAATCTGAAAAAATATTTAAATATGCTAGAGTAAATTTAAACATCTTGATCTCACTGCCTTAAAGCTACATGTTTCCTGATTTGCTTTTAGTATTATGGAAAAGAAGAACAAATAATAGCAAGTAGCAGAATAAATCTCTTCCTGTCCTTGGTAAACTTAGTTGAAGAAATAGCAAAAACTAAAGAATAAGTATAGTAAGGCTATTTGGTTCTGAAATTTCAAAGTAATCATTCTTTAAAGGTAAATTATACATGGCAGTATAGAGAGTAGATATGGTTAATTTAGTTTTGATATAGAAAAAATTATGTACATGAAATGTAAAGGAGTAAGTGGTGGGCTCACGATTAGTGTCATATGTCTAGAATTTACATATGCCTTCAAATAGACTTTTCCTATCTTATTGCTGATTAAAAAAAAGTAAAGTCAGCCTTTTTAAGATGCTCTGAGTAACACAATAGCTGAAGTATAGCCAATTAATCTTGCAGATGCAATCAGGTTGAAATGAAAATAATAAAAATATGAGAGGACAGAGCAATTAAAAGCAAACAGCTTCTTCTGTCTAAATTATAATAATAAAATCAACACTTACTGGTCTATGACAGGTGGAATATTCTTTCCATATTGGACTAGGTAAGGGTATTATAAACTTAGAAGTATTTACATTCATGTTCCTTCTGAAAGATGAAGTTATGAGTAGTTTCTTTTATATTGGTGTAATAGAATTATACGTGTTGATGCTGCTTCTAAAAATTATCGTATTGTCTTTGTCCAACATATTATCAAATCACCTACCTATAATTTGGGGATTTTTCTCTCTCTGGAATAAAATAGAACATGGTTGTGGTAGTTACCTACCTTCATCATCATTCTCTCATTAATTCTTTCAAATACACTTACTAAGCCACTAATATATGCCAGACACTGTGCTAGAAACTGAAGTAAATAAAAAGAATGTGTGGAAGCCAGAGAAATATTCTTAGAGGAAAATTACTGACCTAAAGCCATACCATATGACCTTATTAGCACAACTCAGTGCACTTGACACTGGAGATGTTCATGGATTTCCAGTCTGGAAGTCACCCCTACAGAAGAGCATAAATGAGATGTTGATACTGTTTCTTTTTTCATTTAGAGCTGTACCTTTAAAGTCCATCCATGTTGCTATGTATAGTTCTAATGTGCTTCCAACACATTTCACCTATCCACTCCTCCTGTGATAGTAGCCTAGAGTGCTTCTAACTCTTTATCATCACAGATGAAGCGTCAGAGTATATCCTCATACATGATGGTCTTATGGAGAATTTCTTCACTATATATGCCCAGAAGTAGGATTGCTGGATCTTGAGATGTGCAAATAGTTAATCTGGCTAAGTAGTTTTGCCAGATTGTTCTTCAGAATGGTTACCCCAGTGTACAATCCCACCAGCACGCCACTTGCAAAAGGGAACTCACTAATAGTGTGCATTATCCAGCTCTCTTTTACCAAACTGATGGCATAATGGGATTATATGGTTAATGCCTCTGGATTTTCTCTTCGGTAAATTGGATATTTTTGTCCTTTGCCCATTTCTTTATTGAAGTTGCTACCTTTTTAAAAGTTGATTTGTAGTTAACTTTGTTTTTGGTATCTTCAGTTCAATCCAGAAATGATTGATTTTAATGTGGTAGAATTCATCATTTTGGGGTCTTGTGCTTTATGCTTCTTTATTTAAGAAGTCTTTCCCTAGCCTCAAGTCGCAGTTATTCTTCTGTACTATATTCAATTAACTATATAGTTTTACCATTTCCATTTGGCTCTTTAATCCATCATGAGCCTTCCTTTATATGTATCATTATACAGGTATATGATTTTACTTTTCTTCATATGATGAGTCAATGTAGTACCAATATTATACGCTGAATGTATCTATTCCCCCTTGATTTATATGCCAACCTTATTTTACATTCCCAAAATATACATGACTCTATTTCTGAGCTCTATTCTGTTTTGTTAGACTGTTTGTTCTTACACTAATTCCACCCTATTTTAATTTCTGTGACTTTGGTAATAAATCTTAGCATCTTGAAGGGCAAGAACTTTCTTACTCTTCTGTTTCAACAGTTGGTTTGACTATATATGGAATTTTATTCTTTCCATATAAACTTCAAAGTTCATTTATAGTGTTTCTTAAAATTTTGATTGGAATTGTATAAATTAGTATAGAGAAAGTTGGTATCTTTCTGGTATTTATTTGTTCCATCCAAGAGCACGGAAAAATCTGTATTTTAAATTATGTTCTCTGTCTTTTATTAGGTCTTATATATTATTGATTAGTTCCTAGATCCTTTATAGGTTTAGGGTTTTTTCTCCCTTCTGTGAAATGTACTTAATATGTTCTAGTGGATATAGAAGTTAAGAGTCCCTAGGTTCAAACCCTGCCTCTAATCACTTGCTAGATGTGTGACTTTGGTCAGGCAACTTAATTCTCATGTGTAAGATGTGGACAATAAATGCACCTACCTTGTAGGGTTGTTAGGAGAATTTAAAATAAGTTAACATTTATGTAGTTACTGGAGTAGTACTGGCCAATAATAAGTGCTATATAAGTAACTAAATTAATAAATATTTGTAGGTTAGTCTCAGATCAGGAACCTTGTTGGGCTCTCATTAGCTCTAATAGTTTTTTTGTTTTGTTTTGATACAGGGTCTTGCTCTGTCACCCAGGTTAGAGTGCAGTGATGCTAACGTAGCTCACTGCAACCTCAGCCTCTCAGGCTCAAGTGTTCCTCCTGCCTCAGCCTCCTAAATAGCTGGGGCTGTCAGCACCTGCCACCACGACTAGCTAATTTTTATTATTAATATTTTTTGTTGAGATGGGGTCTGGCTGTGTTGCCAAGGCTAGTCTCTAACTCCTGGCCTCAAGCACTCTGCCCACCTCAGTGTCCCAAAGTGCTGAGATTACAGGCATGAGCTACCATGCCTGGCCTAGCTCTAATTGTTTATATGTTAGCTATTCTTAATTAGATGACCATATCATCTGTAAATTAATAGTTTTATCTCTTCTCTTCCAATTCTTACACCTGCCCTTTTTTTTATAGCAGTAAGTAGGACTTCTAGTACTATGTCAAGTAATATCTGTCAATACGGTCATCTTTACCTAATTCTGCTTTTAAAGGGAATATACCTAACCTCATTTAGGATAATATTTGCTTAAAGTTTTTGGTAGATATCTTTACCAAGTTGAGAAAGTTAATTTCTCTTTCTAGTTTGGTAAGAATGTTTCTTTTTTTTTTTCTAAATCATAAACAGATATTCAGCAAGAACTGGGAAGTGTTAAATATCCACAGTTGATAAAATTATCTTTTCTTTTTCCCTTAGTTTTGGTAATTTATATTTATAAATTTTCTGAAGTTTAGCTACTCTTGCTTTCCTGAAATAGGCTCTATATGATTATAACATATTCTTTTTTCTTTAATGTATTGTTGGATTCTGTTAAGTGTATTTACAATTTTTGCAAATGAAATGAGCTTTACTTGTTTGTCTCTAGATTTGGAATTTTTTTATTAATTTCATAAAAGAAGCTGGTCGATTTTCATGCTTTTTTTTTTTCTGAAACAGCTTATATAAAATTGGTCATATGACCACAACCTCTGAGGTCCCAGCAAGAGTCCTAACATCTAGCAGCTCTACCATGAGGACCCACCCCCTAAAACTAATCCCAGCAAGCACATCTAAAGGTAAAAAGATAGCTTGTATAGCTCTTTATTTGGAATTTGAGGCATAAGGGACCTACTTTTGTAAAAATAATTTTCTGGGCTAGGACTGCATACTTTAAAAACAAACTGGACCAGTTATGTACCAACAAAGGATTAAAATGGCCCCAGATTCTCCTTCCCAATTTTGTGATTGTAAGAGCTATTCCCAACAGGAAAATTGGCCTACGCCTAGGAGATAAAATGGGGGAAGTCTATAAGCCTTCTTGTTTAGCATTCATGTTCTCAGATACCCTGAAGTTAGATGGACAATGATGTTACCCAGGCTTTAATATCATGTCTCAAGTCTTCTCATTCACAGGTTAAGGCTACCTTTCCAGATAGTCCAACAGCCAAGTCACCAGTTTCCAAGGGCATTTACATCACCTATGGAAAACATCGGATCCTTGCACACCAGACGTTCTTGACAGCTCGTCCCATCATTCCCCCTGCATAAAAGTTGCTTCACCAGCAGGCAGCCAAGGCAGCTACTGAGCTTATTTTCATTGCCAAGTAAATACAATATCACTGCCAACAAAACAGAGTGCACAAAGTGTCTCTTCACAGTATCACTACCAGTTGAGACTGTCTTAAGAAAATCAGCTTGTCTAGATGAGGACCCCTTCTCTTCTTGGGTAGCCATGATTTGAAGGAGATACTCTGTGACCTGTGCCACTGGTAAGTGACTAACACTTTTACACACGGAACTGGTCCCTGAGAACTGAGATGTCTTCTTTGTAAGTGAAGAATATACCACATAATCTTGAAGAACTGCACGGTGTTGTGGGCCAAAGGCATACTTTGTGTGTGTCATGAACTGAGAGACCAATCTTGACAAAAGGATTTTTCATCTCATTTCTATTTGCCAGTGTTAGTCAGTGTTCTGCTGGCTTAGATTGTTACCTTTTTCTGGTTCCTTATTCTGTTTTATTCTAATGGGTCCCAGAAATCCCTCTCCTGACCCCTTATCAGAATCAGAAAGTGAGGAAGAAGAAAACATTAGCTACTTAAATGAGAGTTCTGGAGAAGAGTGGGATTCCTCTGAAGAAGAGGACCCCGTGGTATCCAACTTAACGCCTCTTGAGAGTCTCGCCTGGCAGGTTAAGTGCCTTTTAAAATATTCTACAACTTGGAAACCTTTAAATCCTAATTCCTGGTTATATCATGCTAAACTCTTGGATCCAAGCACACCAGTTCATATACTTCGAGAGATAGGCCTGAGACTCTCCCATTGCTCTTATTGTGTCCCCAAACTGGAACCAATTCCTGAATGGCCCCCTCTGGCCTCTTGTGGAGTCCCACCTTTTCAAAAGCCCCTTACAAGTCCCAGCCGGCTCTCTAGAGATCATGCCACCCTAAACGGAGCGCTGCAATTTGCCACCAAACAGTTAAGCCGAACATTGAGTAGAGCCACCCCCATACCTGAGTACTTAAAACAGATCCCTAATTCATGTGTTTCTCGTTGTTGCTGTGGCTGGCTAACTAAAACAGTTAAGGAAACAACCCGCACTGAACCCATCAACACTACTTACTCTTACACTGACTTCCAAAAGGCAGTTAACAAACTCTTAACTGCATCACTATAAAGATCCACCATTTGCTCTTATATCTCAGATGTTGCTAATTGAGAAAAGGGTACAAAGTTAACCATTACACAGACCACAATGGAGAAACTAATGCCTTCTCATACAAACTGTTGTGCCCTGGCAAGCCGAAGTACTACTAAGTACTGAACATACACCCAAGGGTCCTATAACTCAACTATAAAAAATGCATTGTGAGCATACCCTTTGACAAACCCTGTGGATAAATGAGAACTTCAATTGAGAATTAGTCCAAAGAGACCATATTAGCAAAAGATAAATTGAATATTCTCCACACTCAGTTCTCCCCCCATCACCCTCCGCATGCCAGTTTACTCTGCCTATCTGAATGGACTTTAACTAGGTATCTAATGATTATTGGGGAGAAAAAAGTAGACCACTACCCCTTTTGTTACCCAACCTTTAGAATAGCCATGTGGAAAACAAGAAGTTGGCTACCCCCAATAATACGTTTCTGAGCGTACTCTTCTCTGACATTTATTTCTAAGGGGACGAATTATATTGAATAACTGCACAAAGGAAAATGGCAGGAATGTGGATATCTTTCTCAGCTTTTATATAGATATGCCCACATATGACATATGACATATGCCCACATATGACAACCTTCAGGGGGTTCCTATTTTTTGTAGGGCAGTGCAGTTTGAAACCTAGCCTACACTACTGCAAACCTATTATGGTACCTGTAATTACAGGATGAACATTGTATATTATGGGCTTCCATTAGGTTGTCTCTGGCTAAATTGGCTTATAAGATCATCCCTTGGGATTAGACAGACACCTGTAATGTTAGCACTCAGACTATTGTCAAGAACAAATAAAATACATTCCAAAAGATGAATGGGAAAGGATTGAGAGAGCATTTATGCTTCCAATATTAACTGCTAATGGATTTCATCTGTATAACTGCCTGGAGCAGAAGTTTATGCACTTTCCACATTCATTGCAGACTTTTCAGGAACCTTCTGATTTTAAAGAACCTTCTTATAGAAGATCTCTGCCTAATACAATCTGAAATTAAGAGTTTTAGTAGCATTGTTTTTCTAAGTAGAGTGGCTTTAGATTTTCTTCTGGCTAAACAAGGAAGGGTATGTGCCCTTTTAAATGAGCCTGGCCATGTTTATTTAAATGAGTCAAAACTGGAATCAACATACATAAAATAAAATGCATGAGACCATTAAATCTTTTCATATACCCTTAAATAAAGTGAAATCTGTGTGTGGTCCTGGTTGACTGGGCATCTAAAGGGAATCAGAAAACAGATTGTTAGAAGTGTATCATATAGCCTCTTCCTTATTTTGGTTATGCTTTTTCCTATTCTCTAAGTGCTGTATACAAAGTGGCATCAAATAATTAAAGCAGTGATGGAATCACAAATTCTGTAAATATATAGCAACTTAAAGGAGAGAGAAAAATGTTTATAATCTAACAATTATTTCTGCTGAGCCTTAGTTATCCTATCTTAAGGAAAAAAGAGGGAATTGTAGAAGGTAGGAAAAAAGTATCTGTTAGTGGAAAATACTGACCTGAAACCATATCTCATACTGTTAATGTCACTGAATGTATCAGAAAGTGTTCCTATGTAGCTGTTCTGTGGAATTGGTTTTTAAAATGTTATAAGTACCTGTTCCCTTTTTTTTAAGGGGGGGGCTGGGAAGAGGTAGGGAATAGGTCTGAAAATTAAAATATGTTGATGTTTATGTATCCATAATATGTTCCTTTTTCTGTGTGTGTGTGTGTGTGTGTGTGTGTGTGTGTGTGTGTGTGTAAGTAAGTAAGTATAAAAGTGCCTTGCTCATGAATGCCTTTTTGCTATTTACTCCAAAAGGAAGCCTTTCCCCAGCTTGGCAGCTGAATAAAACAACAGCTTTATACATACTGAACAAAGAGTATGGTCATTTGTCCTCAACAAATGAAATAGTTCCTACTTTGCTTAAGGCAATTTCACCATTCACTAAGTACTAAATAGTTAATAGATGTAGTATCTGTATCTACTTAGTATCTATAGCTATATAGTATGATAGGGAGGTGACTCCGCAGCTCTAGAAAAGAAACACACTCGAAGAAAAGAGTCTGATACTCAGTCAAGACCCAAATTTGAACCAATTTGTTTATATAGTTTCAGTAATCCCAGGTTGCACACAATGATAGGTACCTAAATAAGCCTAAGCCTTTACTTGTTTTTGTGTGCCATACACATTGGGGGTTGGGGGTGAATTTACCACCTTTATGCTTTGCTTATGTGGGCTTCTGGTCAAATGAGGCCACCATAATTAGGATTCACGGAGATGAATTTATCCTCTATTTATAGCAATATTTATCAAAGGAATAAGGAAACATTTCTAAACCTTAGGACATTAATAAGTTTTTTAAAGCTATTTTTCTTTCTCAGTGCAGATAGGCAGGCTTTTTGTTAAAGCAGTCCTGATACCTTGAGCCTAGAAGACCATAATTATGTCTTTTAATCCCATCTGCTTCTTAAGAAAATGAAAAAATCCATACATAACAGTGGATGGTAGGTCCCCTTTAGGGGGTGTTCCTGCTGGTGCTTCTGTCACATTTATCCGTCTAAAAAAATTTCCTCCATGATGAAAACAATGTTTTGATATTAGGTCGTTAAAACAATTAGGGACCGTTTGGGTTATAGTCTTACTTAGGCATAAGTTGCCTTACATCTGGCTTTCTACTCTTGGCTCCAGTGTTAGGAAATTCAGTGTCTTTTGGAGTGGCCTATAATTTTTAAATATCTCTTGTTAGAAATTTAGTAACTCATCCAATTATATTACGGAGGAATGCCAACTATAGCCCAGTCACTGGGAATGCAAAATTAAATAAGATACTACACATAAGAAATTAGTTTTAAAATTTATGAACCGATATACATTATCTCAAGCCATTTCTACTCTCTGGGGTCACATTAAATAAGCCTAAACCCTATCCATATACTGGCCTTCCAAATATTTGAAAATGGCTTGTTGTGGAGGATCATATAAAATAATTGAGTAGAGCAACCATCCAAGTGTAGTGGAGATTCTTTTTGAGGACACACTCCAGCAATTAAACCCCACAAGGGATAGTCAACCAAGGAAATAGATAAAGTATATAAATATCTTATGTGCAGATAGTTTTACATGCTAAATGTATGTACAGTATAGTTTTATATACTAAATTCACAAGGCAGTAGCACAAAGATCAGGGCTGGAAGTGTTTTGCTCAGATGTCTAGGATATGTAGAAAAGTCTGGATAACTTCTCAGACAGACTTCATGAAACAACTTTGTACAAGCTGCTAGCATATTAGTCCACCAAGAGGAAAATCCATTGAACTGAAGGAACTACACTAGCTGGCACTAACCACCAGGTACTTCTGTCTCAACCTGTCAAAAGGAAAATCTATGATTGTATCTCTGGCCATTTTAAACAAAGTTTAGTTAATGGCTACATCTTTGAGTCTGCTAATTGTATGCTGTCTGCCAAGCTCTTCTTTTCAAGTGGTAGCAGCAGTGAGATTATACACTTTATAAGAATTTTGGAAGTGAGACCAATAAAATGGAAAGGATGAGGATACCACAATGACCTGACACTTGCCTGATTTCCACCTCCTGAGCTGAGAGAGCTGATCAGCTCTTCTCAGTGAGACGTGGAAAATGAATGCCTGATTTTTTAAAAAATAGTAATGTAGCAGGAAGACAGCAACAGGATTGTTGCTTCTAAACAATATGGGGTCGGAAATGTTAGCAACAGTTGAGGGTTGAATCATAAAACAATAAATTAACTGGAATTCGGGCAGTTTATTTGGGAAGACATAGATGCCTCTGACACATTATATGAAAATTCCTGGGATCATTTGGGGTGTTAGGCTCTACAAAACCAGTAATTATTCGGTAGGAGACTCAGGATCATGGTCAGCCTGACAAGATTAAAACTGAATTCCTAGTATATACACAAACCAAGCTGGTGTATCATATTAGATTCAAACCTGATGAAAGAATCTTAAAGTCAGTGTTGCAGTTAAATTAAGGAGCTGGTAGTATATTCCTATTTGGGGGGAAATTATTATGTTTAGATTAACTGCTAAGACCATGCCTAATATTACCCTTCCATCTGTGGTGTCAACTGTGAAACTCCAATATATCAACTGCTGTTTTACAGTGTATTAATTAGGCAATGGTCCAGTAGGGGCAACTTCCTTTGGGAGGTACTCACAAGTGGAGCAGTCCAAGGATATGGCCATCTTCCTTGGACTAGATTGGCTAGACCCTAGATTGGCTTTATGGTTGCATTCCGAGTAACCAGAATGGCTTGAGAGAGTAGCAGAGCTCTGGCGACACAATGAACAGGGCAGCCGCTACCTGGAGAACCCACATTTCTAAATTAATTGAAGGCTGGCATTAATGTTGGCCACAGCCAATGCATTCCAAGAAAACTTAGCACATAGTGTTGGCCCCTGTCTACCTATTTGGTTGTAAAGTAGACTTTCCCAGTGGTTTGAATGCTTTGGTCTGTAACCCAGTTTCCTTTAAACCCAGTGTTTCTATGTTGGTCACATTCTACTTAGGACACATTTCTTTAAATGTGTTGGGTTGCCAGATTTAGCAAATAGAAATACAGGATGCCCAGATACATTTGAATTTCAGATAAGCAATGATATATGGGATATACAACCCCCAAAATTATTTATTTATCTGAAATTCAAATTTAACTAACTTCTTGTATTTAGCTTCCTTTTTTTATCTGGCAACACTAGTATGTTAGTAGCATCGATTAAGCTTGGGTTGTAGTCATGTGGTCATTCCCAGGGAACAGTCTACTCTTCCCATCATGTTGTTTTCTTATCTCTAAATAACTGGGAGTAAGGAAGGCTTACACATAGTTGATGCAAGGTTAGTACTATTGAGTGGTGGAGGAGGAAGTCCAATTGCAGCAGATGGATTTTTTTTATAAGAGACACATGGTATTTAGTTAAAATAACCATATAACCATTACAACATTTGCAGGCATGTAATTTTCAAAATGCTGTCTCAGTAGGTAGTTGGGGTTTTTTGTTTTTTGTTTCTGTATGTTTTAAGCAGTTACTTTCTCAGTCTGCTATGAAAGGAAAGATTAAGTGTATTCCTCTTTTTTTCGTTTGTTTTTTAATACTTGATAGGTAGCACAGTTCTGGCAGCCATTCTTCATCGCAGAAAAGGTCTACAAATTTGGAACACCTGTCTTTGCCTTCAAAAACCGCCAAAAGACTCAAGGATTTGAAGGCACAAGTTCCCCTGAAAGATGGGGATGAGCAGCAAAGTCGAAAACAAGGGAATTATTTGAAGGTTTATTTTTGCCCTCCCTTTGTAGCCAGGCAACTACCTCTCTTTCTACCAAAAGATTGAAACCTTTTGGTAGTGATGTGCTCTACTGAAGACAGGACAATTGAGAGAATGTCAGTATTCTGAACATTATGAGCCTCCAGTCAACTCTCCCTACCCAGCTACAAAATACGGCAACCAGGCTTATACCCAACCCTTGCCACCCACCCAAGAAGATGAACAAGGAAAAACAGCTTGACACTTGATTATCTGTTGCAGTGAAACCCAGAGTCCACAAGCCCTGCTCATTCAAGTATGGCTTTTAGTCACTTAAAATCACTATACGCTGATAGGCAAGGATCACTGGACATTTGAGGGAAACTTCAACATGAAAGATGAACATAAAACTCGCCAAAGAATCTATGATATTCTCAGAAGCATAGGAGCATATATTGCATCCATGAAATAAGAACAGGATGCTGTAAAAAATAATAAACAATCAGAAAATAAGAGCTGGAAAAATAGGAGAACCAAAATTAAAAATTCAATAGATGTGTTGGAAAATAAGTTGAAGAAATTTCAAAAAATAGTACAAAAAGGCAGAGATGAAAAGTAGGCAAGAACAAAAAAAATTAGGCCAGGCGCGGTGGCTCACTCCTGTAATCCTAGCACTCTGGGAGGCCGAGGCAGGTGGATCGCTCAAGGTCAGGAGTTCGAGACCAGCCTGAGCAAGAGCGAGACCCCATCTCTACTAAAAATACAAAGAAATTATCTGGACAGCTAAAAAATATATATATAGAAAAAATTAGCCGGGCATGGTGGCGCATGCCTGTAGTCCCAGCTACTCGGGAGGCTGAGGCAGGAGGATCGCTTGAGCCCAGGAGTTTGAGGTTGCTGTGAGCTAGGCTGATGCCACGGCACTCACTCTAACCAGGGCAACAGAATGAGACTCTATCTCAAAAAAAAAAAAACAAAAAAAATTAGATCAGAATAAGATGGGACATCTAATAAGAGTTCCAGAATGAGAGAATAGAGAAATGAAGTTAAGAGAAAGAAGAAAAAAAAAAACATTTCCAGAAAGGGTCCACTGAGTGCGCAACAAAACAAAT